GCCATCGTTCGGTTGACGAGAAGAAGGTACTACTTACCTATTTTAATAAGACCTATAACCATGTATTGTTGGTTAATGGGATCTGTAATATTTTCAGTTGAAACATTTCAAGTCAAGTTACAATTGCTTTCAAAGGTCAAAGTTTTTCAAATTTTGTGTGCAGTTGGGGCTCTTTTCAATGGCCCACTAAAGTGATATTAGGTCTTCAAAACCGGCAAAACAGTTTTCAAGGTAAGCATAAGATTTTTCTTTGGTCATTTGTTTTCGTTTCCGATTTTCTCTAGGATTTACTGCTGCAGCGTAGGATTCTTATTGCCAAAGTACTGCATATAACAAAGGAGGTGGAATATTTATGCCAAAACGTTAACCCGCCGGAGAACCGGACCGACGATTCTAATGACGAGTTCATTGGTACAGAAAAAAAAACTTGGGCACTGAAAAGCCACGCTCAATTACACCGAAACATTATACGACTTAACGAGGGGACACTAACGACTGGGGATGGACAAACAGATAAAAAACTAATCTGTGCATTCGAATAAACAAGACAGCTATGGGTCAGCGGTTAGACTCTTTTGGGCGACGTTCAAGTTAGCAAACTTTAGACACCTACCCTGCAAACTGACCCTGAAGTATATATGACAATTAAATATTGTATATCAATATATTATAGTCCACTTGAAATAGCCTGGAGCGATTAATTCATTTCCAGGAGCAATAATCACTAATATTGTAATAATCTGTTCATGTTTGATTAAATTTTTTTTTAATTTAGTAATAGATATTAGTAGTAGTTGTAGAGAGTTTCACCATACTATAAATTATTTACTTATTCTTCGAGGTTTAGTTGTGGGTAGAATTAATTTATGTTTGTTCGTAGTATTTATATCATGCACATTATTGTCATGAAATCATACATAACATTTTTCAAGTATATATTGAGAATATCGCAATTATTTTATGACTGAACGGCTTTTAAAAGTTCGATCAGACACCGAAGAATACATTGCTAAACTATTTTACTGGTGCCTCGCTTTTCATTTTAATTTTAAATACCCGAAATTCCGAACAGTTTGCAGCGTCCATGGTGACGGGACAGAACCTGTTAAAGAATTCCAAGACCTTTAAAGGAATACGAGAAACAAACACAAGAAATAAATAAGACATTTAACGGTGGTAGAGCCACGCAGCAGCCTCGGCTGTTGCACGAATGGGCAGGCTCGTCCGGGTAAGTACCACGACCTCACAGAAGACCGGCGTAAAGTGGAAGTATGAGAAATACTTTCGCGTTTCGTCTGGTGAGTGAGGTAGCCGGAGCTCAATTTCCAAAAAGGTTGTCAACGCATCTGCAAACCCTGAGGTGTAGCAGATGTTCATGGACGGCGGTATTCACCTGGCATCAGGTGAACCGTCAGCTCGTTTGGCAACTTTTCACATTAAAAAAAAATTGAAGGCAACGAATCGCGTAAAAGCCAATCGCGTATGACCCGCCGCATCGTCTCAATGCATTCGACATTCGGATCCAATACGTTATCTGGGTCCCGTTAATTCTTAATCCGCGTCTGCCACGTGGCCCGATCGACCCCAATTGGCGGTCAGTTGACCTTAATAAAGTCGGTACGGTCGCGAATCGATTGCGGACAATTAGTATACACTTTAGTGAGGTCGCGATGGGACGAAAAAGAAACATGTTTTTCTGCAGCTTACAGAATAATGTGCCGCGACAGCTCAGTGGCCGCGCTCTCGCTTTTAATTCAATATACTCGAGCAACCTCGGTTCAAATATCGGTGTCGGCACCAATGACATTGTCAATTTTACGAATTTTTTTTTTACGTGAGAAAGTGGCGGACGAGCTGGCGGTTCACCTGACGTTAAGTGACAACCGCCGCCCATAAACATTTGCAACACCCGTAGGGTTGCAAATGCGTTGCCACCTTTAAATAAAGTTGGCCCCGGCTACTACACTCACCAGGCGAAATGCAAAAGTGTAAGACTTCTACTTTACACCGGTCTTCTGTGAGGTGGTACTCGCCCGGGTGGACTTGCCCATTCGTGCAACATATTTTCTACCAATGCTCTGTTATAGCGTGGCATTTCCCCCGTCCAGCCAACCTAGTGGTACAGCAGGTTAAATGTATATTTGAACGCCGAATGGAGTTATATTTTTTTTATAAATTATCGTCATCAAAAATATACGTACCTCTGAGTAATGAAATATCAGGCTTTTTGTCAGAATGTTTTAATCAACTTTATATAGTATACATAATTATTTTCCTTGATATTTGTAAAAAATCTCGCTGCTCAAGTCGACAACATCCCTAATGATGTAGCAGTTTCAAATATTCCACGTTACGATATTTCGTCTTACGTTCGCTTGTTTGCAAATATGAATAAAAAAGTAAAAAAAAAAAAATGTTTACGAATTCGGAAATTACAACCATCAAGTGCTGCTAATGGCTGTAACGAAGGCATTAATGTTGCCAAATCTTCAAGGCACTAGATAATCGCTAAGATAAAGTGTTCGTGTAAAGCGCGGTATGAGTTTTCCGTTAATAATAATTACGATAGCGTATCAGAATTAATTATGTTGTTACTGTTAGAGCTGGATTCGCAATGGGAAATTGAATCGATGGACGCGGGTGGCTCCGGAGCGTGTTTCGTGGCAGGAAAGATGTTTCTGAACATAGAATATTGAAGACATAGAACATGAATATTGAAGTCAGTTAGTATAAACTTCATCGAACACTTGAGATTTTCGCAATTATCGACTTAAGTTCACTTTTATACACCCATTTATCCGTTGAATATTTGCATTGGCTCGAAGTTAAACACAACATTTTTGGATTCAAATTTAGAATTATAATAACCGCGAAATATATTATGCTTTTTTTAAAAAATAAAACTGAACTTCAAATAATTAGAAAACAAAACCAAGTTTATAATGCAAATAAGCGTATCGATTTTGATGAATTTATCAAAAGATAAGAAGCAATACGATAATCGCTTCTCATCTTCGAAAAATAAAAAAAACTCATTTAGTGCATTCAAACTAATCGCCGTTTATTCACTACATTATCTAGTTTTTCGATTTGGCACTTTGAAAACAGATTATAGCATATCATACAGATTATAGCACAAACATAAATCAGGTTGATCGATCACTTACTTTATTTGCTAAGTCTGTGCGCATTTAGTCATTTTGAGAGCTAAATCGGTAATAAGTATATTGAAACACTAGCTGCGGCCCGCGAATACGTCTGCGTAGAACAGGCTGAAGGCGTAACATTCAGACATAAAGACGTATATACATAAAACATGTATATAAATTATCGCCTACGTCTTATTCTGATGTATAAGCTATATTATTGTATAGTTTCATTAAAATACATTTAGTAGTATTTGCGTGAAAGAGTAACAAACATCCATCCATACATACAAACTTTCGCCTTTATAATATTAGTAAGGATAAAAATTTGTACAATAAAAGGCGATCGAAAAATAAAATTCAGCCGTATGGCTTAGTGGTTAAAGAGACTGGTCGCGAATCCGGAAGACGTTGGTCCAATTACCACAGGGGTGAAAAGCCTTTCGTTCTTTTTTCTAAAAATTTCAAGGTTTAATCTCAAGTGTGTTAGATTAGCACTATAAAAAAATTTAAATTACGTATGGTGAATTAACCGCTTATATTTTTTTTTAATTTTCATTACGCATGCTGAATTTACGGGTTACATCTTCTTTTTTTAATTTCTCTTTGCAAAACACAACCTGGCCGAATGATGTACGCACCGCGTTTGTGTTTGTGTAAAGTCGTATTTTTGTAATGTCTCTCTGTAAGATTATTCGTATGGATAAAGGCAGGTTGCGGCGTCTCACTGATTAGGCGAAATACGATAGCAGCAATGCATGCATATGCATTAAAAATTATCGCTTTGCGAAAATGCTATTGATTCGTAATAAAAAAATGTTTTTGTGTAAAATCACATTTTCTCAGCAACGACCCACTCAGATAAATAAAAAAGGAGTACCTGATTTACGTATAAAATATATACAGCGTGTCGTTACCATCGCGACAATAAAAGAACACACATATAGGGGGTAACTTTTTAAAGTTGTATTAAACATTGAAATTCTTTAAACATCAATATTTACAGAGTTATTAAATTTTCCAAAAGTCTGAATTTTAGAACATCCTTACCAATAAAAGCGTAACGTAAAGTTCATTTGTAAAGGTCACAAAGCATATGAATGGGTTGAATGAATTTAAAAGAGACAAAACATACTGTTAGAAGGAGAGGCTTGTAATACGACGCTGTGGCTCGAGTTGTATAGTATGTTACATATTTTGTTTTACTTAATTAATTTGTTTGAAAAATATATTTTTTTAAATTATCGATTTTGTTTAACGTTAATATTTTTTATGATTATTGGCAAGCATTAGACGTGTGTTCATTTATTGTCGCGATGGTAACGACACGCTGTATACAAGATCCGTTCGTTATAAGGGGCTGCGTAGTTCTTGAGTATCTCACATATCCATAGAAAGAGAAGAGAATAATTGTATCATATTATATAAATGTATATTATATAGTAAGGTTACATATTTTCGTATAATGTCATAAAGCGCCATCTCACAACAATTTTAGAAACCAGCAACAATACACTTACCTCGAAAGTTTACGAGATGGCGCTGTTAGCATGAAAGCAAAAATTTATGCTACGGAAAATTTAATGCAACTAACATTTTGCAGCGGCGAGCATTTTACTGATTATAAAAAACTAGCGATCCACCCCGGATTCACGCGGATGCAATGTATTATACATATAAACCTTACTCTTGAATCACTCTATCTAGTAAATAAACCTCATCAGGACCGTTGCGTAGGTTTAAAGATCTAAGCATAAGTAGTTCTAAAGATCTAAGCATACATAGGGACAGACAACGGTATAACTTTGTTTTATACTATATAGTGAAGAATGACCTGTTAGGTGGTCTACTCACCAGGTCTTGCGTAAGGATGACCTGCTCCCCAGGCGCCCTAGGCCTGGGGCTGGATTCTGGAGACTCCACTGGCGAGAACCAGTTCACAGTGGACTCCCCGTAGACGGATTGGACGCCCGTGGGCCTGACTGGATTCAGCAATGGCGTCCTCTCCGTCAACGGACGGCGAGCTGCTGGTAATAAAAAAAAATAATTTTTTCATTCATGCTTTTGACTTATGTCTGCGAGGTGGAGACTATTTTCATGGATGTGGCTGTTGTTTTTAAGCGAGCAAGCATACACCTGATGTTAAGTGTTTACCGCTGACCATGGACATCGATAACACCGGGTTGCAGACGCGTTGCCAACCTTTACATCATGATGAAACCGTGGCTCAATTGCCCAGGTATCGGCTTCGGCGCTCGGAGTTCGATCCCCGCACTGGCAACTATCATATATACCCACAGATAATTAAATCGAATCTGGGTGTATGTCGTGTATGTATGTAAAACGTCCTTACAACACAGGATAATAAGGAAAATGTTTTCTAAATACAAAAAACAGCGGGCCCCAGTCACTTCACTCACAAAACGAAAAGTAGATCAGCTTTTCACGCTGAATCACTCACTGTTGGCTTCCAACTCCAGCGGTAGCACCCTGAAGTCCAGGAACCAGGCCTCGCCCCACGCGAGCGTGAACGAGGTGAGTATGAGGAACACTTGGTACACCGGCTGGACAGCATTCGGCCACTGGGTATATGGTATATAAACTGCCGTGAGAAATGATGTACTAACTGAATATATTATTTATTTATTACACACATACATACTTTATTAGGGGCCAAAACATTATAAAATAAGAAACAAACAAAACAAAAAATAATCAAAACAACAAAATCTATATTACAGATTATAATAATAAGCCTTTTATTCGGACCAAAGACACATTTTGTTACTTAAACTACTGCACAATAACATATATATACAGCGTGTCGTTACCATCTCGACAATAAATGAACATACGTCTAACGCTACTTGCCAATAATCATAAAAAAATATTAACGTCAAACAAAATCCATAATTAAAAAAAAATATTTTTCAAACAAACTAATTAAGTAAAAAAGAAACAAAATTTGTAACACCTATACAACTCGCGTCACAGCGTCGTATTACAAGCCTCTCCTTCTAACAGTATGTTTTGTCTCTTTTAAATTCATTCAACCCATTGATATGCTTTGTGACCTTTACAATGAACTTTACGTTACGCTTTTATAGGTAAGGGTGTTCTAAAATTCTTTATTTTAGAAAATTTAATAACTCTGTAAATATTGATGTTTAAAGAATTTTAATGTTGAATACAATTTTTAAAAGTTATCCCCTATATGCGTGTTCATTTGTTGTCGCGATGGTAACGACACGCTGTATATATATTATTATTATTTTACTTAATTAAACTAAATACTTAAAATTCGTGTATTTGGTGTTTTTTATGTTTTGAAAGTTCGTTTGCCAGTTGGCAAAGGCATTCTCCTATCTACTCCATTCTGATCTATCTCTGACTACTCTACTCCATGTTATGCCTGAAACCAGCCTGATATCATCATCCAATCTTTTTTGTTGTCTACCTCTTTTCCTTTTTCCTTGCCTTGGGTACCATTGTATAACTATTTTGCTGCACTTGTCCTTTCCCCTGATCATATGTCCCGACCACTTCCATTTTAGCCTTTTTACTTTTATAATTACACCTGTATCTTGGTCTTTTTCCTATGATAATGTGTTTTTTTATTTTATCCCCCTCTTTACTCCTAGCATGCTTCTCTCCATTGCTCATTGGCAAATAGAAATTCTATTAGTTGAGTTTTGGCTCAGGTGAGAGAAATTTGTGGTTGGAGTAATCAATAAAACGAATAAAGAGACAAATATATACCCAACACATCTCTGATCCCCATTGAGGCATAGTGTACTAGAGAGGTCGAGTGTAGCAAACATGTAAACTATAAACCTAAAAAAGTTAACAGTAAAATTGAAGTATTTACCTCATACTTACATCAAAAACGAACACTTTGGCTATCAAGAAGGCGCAAGTACCACCAGTTGAAAGCTGAAACAAACATTCTAATCAATTAATCTTGTATTTCCAGTCAATTTTGTTTTTGCTCCCCACAATATGCAAATGGTAGATATACACTAGCAAACTTCACTCAACTCTCCGAAACCCATAATAATGCAGCAATAACTAATGAGTATATATAGATTAAGTAATTCTCCAAATATTTATTGCAATATTCTATCATAAACAGAAGTTAACTACAGTATAAGAAGTATGTTTGTATGTGAAATATTGTGACTACTTAAAATATCCATAATAATCAATTATTTCTCAAAGGTATTAATTAATTTTTTTAGTAGTAGTACTTAATAAAATTAATACAGAGGCGTAACTTTGAAGAATTAATAAAACATCTGAAAACTTCTCATATAACGCATATTTGAGTAAATAATGTTAATGGCGCCATCTATTGACAATCTGTTTGTTTACAATATTTATTTTCGTGATTAAAACACTTTTGCGCAAAAAGTTGGTGGTTACAACATTTAAACTGTAAACTTAAAGTAAGTAAGCAGTTGTGAGTTGTTTTATAAATCAAAAAAAAACCTCAAAAAGAAAAACATTTCCAAAAATGATTATCTATATCATAAATATCTGGTATAAATGTATAATAATATATTACAATAAAATATATTCTATTGCAATAATCACAAATCTTACTATTTAAATTGTATAATTTTATCTGAAATAAAATATCATTCAACTATGTAGTAAGTTTAAAAAAACTTTTATATTTCTGTGTATTTTAACAGAATAAACGAAGGATATTGTAATATATTTCGTCCATTTGAGTTATTCAAATAGTAATTAACAATACTTACAGCAATAACACTCCAATTATTTATATACAATGCTGCATAGAACAGGATTAGCAGCAAAAATCTGAGCACCGCAACTAGTACTATGTCAAACAGTGACGTCTTAATGCTATACTGTACTATTTCTTGATTAAAAATTTGCATCAAAGTCTCTCCACGCATCTGGAAAAAAAGATTATATTTTTTTAGTAATATGAATGTGAATTTAATAGGTAACTTGTCGATAAATGTTTTCACCGAGTCACTGGTCTATTTCCAAGCAGAGTGACAGCACACATTTGTTTTGAATTGTAGAAAAAAGATACTAGTAATTAAAGCAAGAAGAAAAATGGAGGATGTCAATTGCTTGTCACTTTAACTTAGGTGTAAAAAAATCCCAAGGTGCATCTGCCTTTCTCACCCCCCTATTAAACTTATTTGCTGTCATATTCTTTGTTTGCCACGAATTTGGATGATTTCGTGGCTTTACTCCAGGGGCTTAACATATGCAGATTATCACTCAAAATAAAAAAATATCATCATAATAAATGTGTTCGAGACAGGAAAAGTATCATATTTTGCATATGTGAGTCTATGCCATAAGTTGACATAAATTTGTTGAAGTACAAATAAAAAACGTAATAATAACGTTTTTTTTTTTTTTTTTTGAAGTTCATATTTATTTGTATACACAAATAGTTACGTAATATTAAAACTTAACTTAAACAATACATGAAAGCATAATATGAAATACCTAAATAAACCACAAAAATAGGGATGCTAAGGAAAACATAATGCAAATTTGTTGAAAAATGTTTTTAATATAATTTTTTTGTAAAATAAATTATTTTTGCTGGTTTTCATTTATACTTTTTTATTTAAGTTGATTACAAACAATTTATAGATATATTATGTAGCACTATACCACTTACCATAACACAAATCAGCCACATCAAGCTAGTAAATAGTAAATCAAATGTGACAAATAAACAGAAAAATCTCCGCACAGACGACATCCTTCCTTGTGGCCGATAACCGGCTAGTAGATCTTCTGTTGTGAGGTTTACTGAATGGGAGTGAGCTGAAACATAAAAAACAATATAAGTGATGACTCCACAGCGCAATTGCCAATGCTTCAATTGGCTTCAGCGCCAGGGATTGTGGGTTCAATTTTCCACATAAATATTTGTGTGACCCACAAATAAGTACTTCGGATATGGGTGTTTTTCCAGATGAGTTTTTTTTAACACATCTTTACAACACTGGATAATGTAATCCTTCTGTAAAGGGCAATGTTTTCAATGAAAAAAAATATCCAGAATATGCCAACAACAAACAAAATGATCACTTTTACTTTTAATATTATAATTAGATACTTGTACACTTTACTTTTGTAACGATTTATTGTATTTGTATTAACAAGAATACAACATATTATTAAATGATACTGCTATGCAAAAAATAATGTTATTAGACTAAATTTGAAGTTTAATGCAATTAATAAACCTACATCGATAAATTTTAAAACCAAATGCTTTGAACATTTCACAAAATTGATAATCATGCATCATAACGTAAGGTTAAACCTTCTAGCATTGTTAGGTACCAAAAGAATCGCTTTTTATGTTAAAAAGCATGATGAATGAAATACTTACATATGGTTCTATAATGTGGGTTTGAAACACTCTCAAGGAGAGATTCAGCCGCTTCCCTTATGTGGTGGTCAGCCATTGTGACCTCTGGAATTTTATCATAATTACATTGCAAATGGACGCAAGCAAATAACTAATGGTTTGTTAACAGAATCGTTTGAAAAAGACGCCTATACAGCACAAAATTCTTACATCAGATTGTTGTATTATGAAATACAATAGTGAAGTTAAACATATTACAAATTTATAGTATGCAATAATAAACATAATAGAATAAGCTTTTTTCAATGTTTTCTTTTTTTCTTATTTGTGTATTGAATGAAATTAATAATTTTTTATTGATAAAGTAATAAATATGAGTTTGTAGCTGATATTTTTTATAATTTGTTTTAATTAAAACCCTGCATTTTTTACTATATACCAATGTGAAAGTAACAGAAGTTAATTTAGGTTTCCAAGCCATCACATGAAATTTGTAAATATTTCTAATCATTACCAAAGTTTACCATTGGAAAGAAAATAACACATCACAATAACATAACCAAATATTTTACTGAGCGTCTTATCTTTAGCTAATTTTTTTTACAGTATACACTATGGAGTTTTAGCTTGAGGTTTATGAAGTGGTAGATATTTCTGCATAATTATATTGGCATTAACATGATCAACCACTTATTACCTTAAGATAGCAACAAGTCAAGTTATAAAATTAAAACCTTTATTTAGACTACTAGTGGATTAAAAAAAAAGCTTTTCAAAATTAACAGATATCAAATAAACAATTTAATGAGTATTTATGAACCCATTGGGTAAATTAGAATTTTTATTTTAAGTTCGTAATTTCAAAAAATTACAAAGTCTTAAATTAAAGTGATAAGAAATGTTTCATTTATAATAATGTATTTAATTATACCTTTACAATAAAGTGATGATTTTAAATAGTTGTTATTAAATGTAAATATTACATATGTAGATATGATATGTTAGAAACAAAGCCATGACAGTGATATTGCAATCAATAACAAGTTCGTTAAGTTAGAGTACAAGTATTTAATTAAAACTCATAACTTACAACATACAATAAACCCAAACAGTCTCATGTCAGTATAAACCTAATAACACATTTGCAACAACAACCATTACGCACTAAAAATAGATTGTTTCGTTAATGTATTTTTTTCTTATTCAAACAAAGACTTACACTGTATTGTTAAATTAAATTCATATCTATCTTCAGTTCACTTACAAGTAAACACAGTTTATAGGTAAAAACAACAGCTCTAATAAAAACTACGGTTTACACATCACGTATTTTTTATTTCAATCACAACATGTTATCAAACAATTCCGAACAATGTTATCAAATTATACCAATTTCTTTAACCTATAGCTAGCTCCTAATAGCAATAATTGAATGAATTAAAATGACGGATGACGTTTATTTTTTTCTATAGCCTCACAAAACTATTATGCGTTCTGTTCCAGTCTGTATTAGAAAAATATGCTTAGTTTGTAATAAAAATAGAATAGTTGAAGACAAGCAAGAACAGAGTTTTAGTAGAAGATCCGATATAAATCAACCTTCACCGAGCTGATAATAGTATAAAATTTATTTTATAATAAATTTAGTATATTATAAAATATATTAAAACTGGGTTGCCTAAATATATCCTGGACAGAATATTTTTAATAATTTTAAAAAAAATGATTTTATATGAAATGTAACATCAAGATAATAATAAAATATTATCCTGCAATTTAGAACATATTCTAAAATGTGCAGCCGTTGGGTTGTCTATTAATTACCTGGACGAACTACTGGCAATACTACTGTTACGTTTAGGTAAGTAAAATCTAAAGAAAGATAAAGACTGATATAGATTACAATGATATTCATGGTAATACAAACACGAAAAGTCTAAACAATATTAAAAATAAAAAAAGAATTGAGTTATAAGTGCAAGTTGTAATTTCACTTGCAAGTAGATTTGTCGACCGATGGTCAACCGGCGGTCAACACAGCATTGGGTGCAGGTGTATTATTAGTGGTCATGTACCATCCGACGAGAGCAAACGTTTCTCCGCCCCGGCTTCGCACGGGTGCAATTTATTATACATATAAACCTTCCTCTTGAACACTCTATTTAGTAAAATCGCATCAACATCCGTTGCGTAATTTTAAAGATCTAAACATACATAAGGACAGAGAGACAGCGGCACGTTATACAGCGTGTCGTTACAACCGCAACAATAAATGAACACACATATAGAGGATAACTTTTTAAAATTGTATTAAACATTTATATTCTTTAAACATCAATATTTACGGAATTATTCAATTTTCCAAAACTATCGTTTTTAGAACACCCTTACGTTTAAAATGTAAAGTTCATTTGTAAAGGCCACAAAGAATATGATTGGGTTGAATGAATTTAAGAGAGATACAAGATATTGTTATGAACACACAAAGGAACGAACGCCATCCAGCGTCAACTATTAAAACCACTAAAGAACAAAGACGACATAAAATCCCCTATTCAACGGCGAGATTCTAGATTCTAGATGGCGTTAGAGGAACTGCTGTGGAACCGGGTACATTCGCGAACTTTCCGGAATCACGAACATGTTCGTGCGTGTCGGGTACGTTCCAGGAATGATCTTTCTGGATTAGTCCGGAACCGGTCTCGGCCCATATAAAAAGTCGCAGGGAGGCGAGCGATGACAGTTCAGTTTGAGCTACCTTCGAGGTGACTTCGGAGTGAAAACTAGTGATCAAGAGCGATACCAGTGAAACCTACGACTTGGCTACAATCTAGGACATCGTTAGTGCTTAGTGATTGGACCTAGTGCTTTGTGTTGAACCTAGCGCTAGTAAATAAAGTCTTCAAAAGAGTCAGCAGGTCTTTCTCTCCAAATCCTTCGAACCCCGAACACGTAACAACTGGTGTCAGAAGTGGGATTTGGAGATGCCATTGACTCCGAGAGAGGACTTCAGGGTGTCGGGACAAGGGCACGAGCTGTGGAGGCCACACCCACTGGGGGCCAAGCCCCGCCCACTCGGGTGCAGGCCCCGCCCCCTTTGGTGCAAGCACCGCCCACTGGCTCCACCCACCGGGCCACGCCCACTGGCCCCGCCCACCTGCCACGCCCACCAACGGCACCGTAACTTCTGCAGCCCCTGAAATGGTTCTTCAATTAGGAAGTTTAATTGAACTAATTAGCGCCTTGCAAGAGTCACAAGAACGCAAGCTGACTACGATTCAAGAGTTTCAAAAGGCTGAAATCAGAGCGATTCGAGAATCACAAGAGCAACAAAAAGACCTCCAAGAAAAGGCGCTTTGGGCTATAAATGATGTTAGTAACACGGTGATTAAACTTCGAAAAGATGTCGACGTAGTGGAAGAACGAGTTACCGGGTTAGGTTACAGAAGAAAGTAGTGCGCCTTGAATGCACGGGAATCGCGATGTCTAGTGGCACTACTGGAGTGGCACAAGGACCAAAAGTGAAAGTGCCGCCATACGACGGCACTACTTCTTGGCACGCTTATCGTCGGCAATTCCAGACTGTTGCTACTGCCAACGGATGGACGGAAGAGCAATGCCTGACCGCTCTCACTGTTGCGCTCAGAGGCCAAGCTTGGTCGGTTCTGGAAGCACTGCCACGTACAGGAAATGGGTTCCAAGACCTGATGGAGGCACTTGAATCCAGATACGGGGAGCGACACCTGGAGCACGTGTTCCGTGCCCAACTGCGTGACCGAGTCCAACGCTCAGGAGAAGGACTACAACAATGGGCGTTGGAAATTGAAAAACTCGTCAGGAAGACACGCCCAGGAGCCGACACCAAGATGGTAGACACGAATATTGTTCAAGCATTTGTGGACGGAATCAAAGACCTGGAGGTCAGAGCTGCAGTGAGGCTTCGTCACCATACCTCGCTAAAGGAAGCACTGGCGCATGCTTTAGAGGTCGAGGCTGTTCGCCATGACATACGGCAGACCCATAAGATCCGCGAGGTCTCTGAGGAAGTCAAGGAGGTTAAGGCTCCTACAAAGAAAAGTTTTGGAGCTATGTGTTACAAGTGCGGCGAGAGGGGCCATCTGCAGCTCAACTGCCCGCAGAAGGAGACCCAGATGGCAAGAATGAAATGGATCGAGGAACAAATAGCGGAGCTGAAGAAGCGAGAGGCTTCGTCCCCTGTCCGGGATCAGGGAAACTAATCAAAGCCAGTACTAAGGGGCGAGTACTGGCTGACGCGGAGGAGGCCCCGATAACTGTTATCTCCCAGGCATGCAGCGGGAATAGCCTTGTGATTCAGGGTACTATTAGTAGGACGGATTGCAAAATGACTCTAGACACAGGAGCCTCTAGAACAATAGTGAACCCTAATCCGGTAAAAGCCGCAAGGGGACTCAAAAGAAGAATTAACTGCCGGCTTCTTACTGCCTCCGGTCAACCAATACCCGTCCTGGGAGAAATGTCAGTCACGATGTATGTAGGGGGGTCCTCATACTCTCATAACGTCATCGTGGCTGAGATAATGGATGATTGCATCTTGGGTTTGGATTTCATGAGGAAACACAACTGCAGATTTAATGTCGCTGACGGAGTTTTCAAGTGTGGTGAAGAAGAAATCTTCATTCTTGGAGGCGCCTGCGGGAAAGTCGCATGTGTAAAGAAAGTCATTATACCTGGACGAGCGGAAGCTCGGGTGCTGGTGAAACTGCCGCTAAATGGAAAGAAAAAGTCAAACAGATGCGTGTTAATCGAAGGCACACCTACCAAGACATCGGCACAAAAACTGATGACGGCAAGAACCCTTGTTAGTGGTAGCAGTAACGCTGTGGTCAAGGTTTTGAATCTCTGTGATTGCGAGGTCTGCTTGAACAAAGGTGACGTCATTGGAAAGTGCGAGGAAGTTGTCTGGATGAAAAAGTGAAGTTCGACGACAGGTGCAGACCCAGCAAACAGCAACAACTACGGATTAGTGACTGAGCTACTCGATGACTGCAAGAGTAATCTGACTTATTCACAGGGCATGAAAGCTAGGAAGTTTTTACAGCGCTACGCGAATATCTT